TTTGCATGAAAAAGTAAGTTTGTTGTTGGTTTGTTCTTGAAGTTTTAGGCTGTTGGTTGACAAGTTAGTGTTAATGCTAGGACTGTTGTCTAGCTTTAGCTATCATCTTCAAATTACTCATCTTTGTTGCTTTGGGGATTTTTGGAGCCTGTTGGGGTTGAGTAAGAGTTTTAGTAGGATAAACCAACTGAGCATATTCATGTTCTTGAGATCCAGCCATTGTGAATCTTGGCCGTGGCTTTTACAACAGGTTCCTAACCTCTTTGTTAAGATTATAGCCTGACAATTTGTTTCATGATAGCAGTAGGTTCATTCTCTTAAGACTCATCATGAGTATGATGTTTTAGGCATAAGCAGACCTGTATTGGTCTTGGGCTCACACTTATTGTTTGCTGAGTTTATAGAAGCAGAAACTATAACCATTTGAACTCAGGCCAGCTCGTGGTCAATTAGTGACTTAGTACAGAGTTTAACTTAATGCTCTTTTTGCTATCTACATTTCCTTCAAGGAATCTGCCACTTTTGATAACCTCGGGTTTGCATTTAGACATTTAAATTTCATCTGGAAATCAACTCAGTACCTTGTGCATCTTTTTCAGTTCAGCTTGGTTGTAGGGGTTTCATTTTTATTGTATTGTTACCAAAGCTCTTAGTGAAATGACTGATATGATGAGATACTGTCAGTACCTAGCAATCTCAGTTGCTCACACTCCCTCACCATTTGCATGTGTGTCTGCCATATAGATAAGATGCAGCTACTGTTTTGATTTTAGCAAGCAAAACAAACACCAAACTTCAAAACCAACTCACACCATCATTGCAACTCACTTGCCTTTTTTTGATACAAGGGTGCTTTGATTAAAACTTTGTTTAGAACTTATTCAGAATCACTTTTGAAAGTTGCTTGTGCCTGGCCCAACCTTAGATTACATCAGCTACATACCATGTTCATCAAAATGCATTTCAAAGCTTAAGTTTTCATGTTCTATTGTATTTGAAGTTGTGGATGTTATTTCAAGAAATTAATCATGTCATTGGATTCCTCATCAAAAATCACACGAAATTGACTAAAATTTCACTCAAATCCATGTTGTTTTGATAGAGTTTCAATCCTTCACGCATTTGGTTTTGTTGGTTTGTTTGTTGCCCAGATTTCATGTGCCTTGTTAAGTATTTATATTTATGGGGTGGCTTTCATCAACGGATGTATAGCCACCCCAGTGGTAAGACCATATGCCTAAAACACGCCTTGTACCTACATGACCTGGGTTCGACCCCTGAGGAGGGCAACCCTTTTATTTATTTTTGCAATTTTTGATCCAATCTTTGAAAATCCATAACTCACTCATTTTTAATCATTTTGAACCCATTCTTTTTGCATTGTGTTTGTATTGATGTCTACTTTCATGTGATATTTTTTAATTCCATGTTTGTTCATATTTTCATGCCTTTTGGTTACTTACAAGTTGCCTTTGTATCGAGATCGTTATCTCCCGTATGCAGATGAATTTCTTTTTCACCATGATCATTTGTGTTAAGATATTTATTCATTCTCACTCCTTTTATGTTAGTAAACATGTTAGGTCTTTCTTATTTGGTTGTTACCATAAAATATCCCTTTTATCTGTGTTTACTTTAAGGCGCGATTCGTCGATGCGTTCCTTACTTGACTACTTGCCTTGATTATCATCCATACACTTTCACTCATGACATACTCTTTTGTTGGTTGTTACCTTTATACTTTCATCATCTTTACTTGGTTAAGTGATTTCATTTCCATGTCCCCTCCCAAATTATGAGGTTTAAACTGATTTAATTGTGTTTGATTGTTATCTATGCACTGTTGTTACATTTGCTATGTTTTGAATTTATGACTTGCCCATCTTCAAATTGTGATTTGTTTATGTAGTAATAACCTTCTTCATGTTCCAATCTTTGTCAAGATGAACCCTCAATCTTTGTTAAGATGATTTATTGGTTGTAACCCTTGGTATCATTTAAAGTATCTGCTTATTGTAATATGCATGCTTACTTGTCTTAAATCTTATTTCGTCTTGCTTTATTAAATACTTCTTTCCCCAAGTGATGGAACTTTCTAGTTCTCATCCAAGTTGCCTCTCTCTCTCTCCCTCTCTCTCTCCTTCCAAAGGAAAAGTCTCTCCCTTGACCCTTGTGTCACTGGATAGCTCATTTACCCCTCTTGACTTTGTGAAGTCATCCTAACCCTAGCTTAGTTAAGTTAGAACATTTTAAACCATTAGACTTTGCTTCGAGTCTAGAAAACCCACCTATACTAGGAGTGTCCTTCAACTAGAACCCTAGGATGGAGTTTGTAAACTCTGTGTGAGAATCATAATAATGATTACTTACTCCCCTTTCTTGAGAGTTCAACATAGATCTAGAGAGTTTTGTGAAACTCTACACAAGCATTGAAATGTTTGTTCCCCTTTGAACCTTGATCATAATCAAGTGTTCTTCGTCCCTAGTGAGGTGAACTACGATTGCTCTGATTCTATCCTAGTTAGGATACGTAGGCAGAGGACGTGACGTATTTGCGAGCAAGCTTAGAAACTATCCTTAGGTTTTAACCTATACCCTTTACCCAATCCCAATCCTTAGTAAACATTTACCAACTTAGCATGCAAATAAACAAAAGGTTCCTGTAGAGTACTACAGATGTTTAGGATGTGAAATACCTACCCTATGCATAACCAACCCCCGATCCCCGAATCTCTTAGCGTTGTTGTTACATCGCGCAAAAGGTTCTTTCTTTATTTAGACCTTTCCTTTGGAAAAATTAAAGACCGGTTGTGAATTTAAGAATTAAAGATTCAAGTTAATCAATAGCTTAGTATCACAATTCTTACCTCAACAATCATGTCCTCGCATCCAAGACCACGAACAATCAACGGTCGACCATACTAACCATAGACAATTGACGAGCACGTCCCTGAAGACTTTCATATGAACAACAACAACCTCAAAAAACCTTCCCGCGACGTATTTCCTGTCTATCGGTCGACCAACTAGGCTAACTCAAGTCATTACTCTTCACGTTGGACAAACGACTTGGGGGGCTCCTGTTCTAGACTGGACTGGAACATGGCCCACAGTTGGGAAAGGCCCAACCCAACTTTAGGCAAAGCCTAATAAGGAGATTAAGACAATATGACTGTTGGGCATATTATAACCGATACATTATGTTCATCAAATGATGACTGAGCTTGAGGAAGCTATGATAAGAGAAATTAGCTACATTTTTTAGCGTCAAGCAAAGTAAATGAAGGAATACTCAGGTGATCCCCAAGAAATAAGTTGCGATCAAATAAAGTGGAGTGAACTAATTCTCAAGGATGTCATCAAAGTTGATGAGGATGTTGTTCAAGAAGTGTCAGACATCGTGAAAAACATGATAGAAGCAGAGTACTCTACTCAGAGAAAGGTCGAGCAAGGTGTTAAGCAAATGCCTTAGACATTACGAAAAGGTTGGATGATAAGGAAATGATTATAGTGTTTTACTTAGTTGGAAGTCTATTGAAAATGATGTGGTTGTATCACAAAAGGATAAACCTTGAAAGGAAGCTATCAACCAAAGTTTTGACAATAGATGAAGTGGTACAACTATATAAAGAATGATATGGAATCTTATATGTTGGTCATATAACTGCTGGGAGTGGTGGTAAATATTTTCTCGAGACAAAGTTAGTATTGAAGGAGAATAATGTGTAATAAGATGTTTTGATATCGTTAGGGAACATCCTAAGGGCTATAAAGTATTCAAAAATTCCAGGTCAACAAAACAGAAATAATCATGTTGATAAGTGTCATCACTTCATTAGGGAACTTGTTGAAGAAAAGGAGGAAGTTATTAAATACATGGAAACTGAAAAACAGTTAGATATCAGTATCACTAAGGCATTAAGAGATACTCTTAATGTCTGCTCGTGTGAGAACTAATAGCAGTCAATGCTAGGAAGGTGTGCAGAGGAGTTTATCTCTCTCTTTAGATCTGTGTTACACATGAAACAAATAGTGGGTAAAAATAGCTTGAATATTGAAAATATTGAGACAAAATAACCATATGTTACACATGTGCAGTGAATTCCCGCTTGAAGTGGAACACGATGCAAAAAATTGAGACAAATAGCTTCACTTTAAAATAAACACACAAGTACTAGAAACTCAATATGAATCAACAATAGATGATAAATAAGCGAGAGGACCAACATTAAACTTAAAAGAAAACGATGTTCAAAAGCAATAAAAGGTAATCGAAGGCCATAGTCTTAAATGATACTCTCTCCGTCTCATAAAAAGTGTTTTATTTAAGTAATGAATGTTTCTTAAAAAAATAATTAAATATATTAATTTTAATAAAATTATATAATTTATACAATTTTTATTAGTTATAGTTAATAGAGTTGTTGAATAAAATAAAATTTAATAAATAACGATATAGTAATAAAAAAATAATAATAAATGATGTATTGGTATTATTAAGAGACAATTATTTAGAAATTAAGAAAAAATGCAAATAAAATATTTTTTATAAAACTGAGGGAGTAACATAGTCCATGGAAATATGTGAGCGGATACCATCTTCATAATTGGGTTGTTCCAATAAAGATTATTCTTTAGTCTATAAACATATTTATTATTTAATTATACATTTCAATATGAGATTGACAATAAAAAATAGTTTTACACTATCATTCAATAAAAATTTATTAATATATTATATATCGACATACTTTTAAAATATATATCAGATTTAACGAAATACACATTATTAATTAATTATTTATTTTACACCGTGATATATATTTCATTTTTTCTTTTAGTATAAAAGATCATTTTTAAAAAAGAAAACTACATTAAACAATATATAATAATTGAAACAAATTAGGAGTAGCATACAACTGTCTATAAAGGAAAAATACAATAAGTAGTAAGCATATGAAATATAACGACAAATAAAGAGGACAATATTTCAAATAAATTCATTTACTAACAAGACTGTTATAATCTTCAGGTCCATATGGTTCAAATAGCTCTGCAAAATGATTCTTCTTCCTTTTGGGGTTACATTTCATGTCTTTGCACAACTGATCGTTATACCATATCCCACAACTAACAATGCATGATCTCCAATAATATTTTCCAGCATATTGCTTCATGTTTTCTTCCCATACTTTGACATCCTTTTCCATCTCTTTAATACTTGGCAATTCAATATTCCCATCTAAAAAATGTGTTAGCCATTGACTTCTCAGTTCATTAGAAAGAATGTTTGATATGCTCTCGGAGTATCCTATAATTGCCAGTTGCGGAATTCGAGGATGAATTATTTGTCTAAAATTGCAAAAACATGTATTAATTTTGTAGAACTTTAGCATGTATTCAGATACACGACAACGACAACGACACTGATGCGTCGACATCTATAGTAATTCTAAAAATAAATAACTTGAACATAATTATAAGGGTAGGTGTGTATCAGTGTCACTGACGCAGACCTATGAGTCTAAAAATATAAGAGTGTAGGTGTGTATCGGTGTCACTGATGCAGACGAATGAGTCTAAAAGTATAAGAAATAAAAAATTATCAAATTTTACTGACCTGTAAAGGAGAACTGATGATTTTTCTGACTTACTAATGTAATTTTGAAAAATTGGAGATTTGAATATGCTTTTAAGTTTTTGGTCACCTTTATATCCCGTGGCAAGAATAACTAAATCTGTTTCTATAGGCTTAAGTTCATCATTAACAATCAAACCTTCTTTGCAAAAGCTAAAGTTTTGTGATTTCTTTATCACAATGGATCCTTCTTTCACTTTATCAAAAAAGAACTCAGGAAGCATCGCAATTTGACTTGCAGAGATTTCTTGAAGAAAACTACGATTAGGTACTAGTCCATATTCCTTCAGTGGCAATTTCCATTTCAAATATGTTTCAACAAGTTTTGAAATTCCCCATCTCTGAAAATCAAGAACGCGACTACATGAGATAAAAAAACTACATGTGAAAAGTGTTGGTTGTAAAATATATCTTACCAATGGTGAAAGTAAAATGGCAAGAAGTAAAAGAAGGGAGTTTTCTCCAGGCTTGTAAACTAGAAGTTCCGCAAATCGGTTGAAATAGAAATATCCAATATTAATGCTCCAGACATAGAAATCTAGGAGAAACCAATGCGCGCTTCGATGGATAATCGTGCAAGGATGGGTGACTCCTATAGAAATCAAGGGAGATGAAGAAGTGTTACAGAACATATAAACATAACGTCATATGAAAAAAGTATAAATTAGTATGTTCTCACCATTTGCATCTGCGCATTCAGCAGCTATATCAAGAGCTGATTTTCCGGAGCCTACTACTGTAACACTCTTGTTTTTGATCAATTCAGAAGCAATATTGTTGTCCAAGGAAGAGTAATCCATTGAATGCATAACTTTACCATTAAAAATTTCTGGTCCTTTTCCAGGAGGAAACTCAGGAATGTTTGGTAAACCACTATATTTACCAATGCAAAGAATAAGAAACTCAGCCTTGTGCACCTATATTTACAATAGCATAGTCAGTTCAAATTTACTTATTTGTTATTTATTGTTGAATCTTAAGGGTGAAAATAGGTGAGACCGATAACAAAAGCCTACAGATTTAATCTCATATATATATTTTAGTTTTCAGCTCTAGAATTCTCACTTCTTCGTTGATTCTCATAATTTCTCTTTCACTTCCTCTTCTTTCCTCCACAGTCGAGCTGATGTTTCTCTTCCTCTTCTTTCCTCCACAATGCCTCTCACACCATTTCCACATATTTGTTGTTCTTTCGTTATTCAAAAGTATGCTTCTATTTAGTTTTTATTTTTATTTTCGTTTTTAATTTTATTTCAATATTTTTAATTTTTTAATTTTTGATGTTTGTTGTTTAAAGAAAAATATTTGGAAGATTGCAAGAGCACATCAAGCAAGATCCAAGATTCGAACTTTGTTGTTGCTTTATTCAACTATTTTTGTAATTTCAATTATCTATTTTTCAAATTTATATGAATGAAATTATATATGAGGTTGTTTGGTTGTTGTTGTGTACAAACAAAATATATAGGTTATATATGAAATATATAAAACTATTTAGGTTATTGTTAGATGCCCAGCTATGCTTATTTGAGCTATCAAATGTGGGTATCTTTCACTCCTTTTTGTCAAGAAAGTGTTAAAAATCACTCTTACTTTGGTTGGTTTGCAACACTATGTGAAAGTATCTTGGTACCTTTGATTTGTGTATTATTGTGCAGGAACTAGGCATGAAAGAGTGAAAATTAAGACACATGAATGATGGCAAAGAAACCAAGACAGAAAGCAAACAACAGTAAGTTCGCTAGGCGAACTTGCCAGCGAAGCTCCCTCCAAAACTTTACAAAGTTCGCTAGGCGAATTATGTAGCGAAGGCCAGGAATCCAAAACTGTAAGGAAAGGGCCATAAACTCGCTAGGCGAAGGAGGCAGCGAAGCACTCGCTAGGCGAAGAGATAGCAAGTAGCCAGCGAACACTCCCAGACTTAAAACAGCAAGGAAAGGGCCACAAATTCGCTAGGCGAAGTTCACAGCGAAGGCTTCGCTAGGCGAAGGATTACTTGCCTAGCAAACTTTTGGAAACTTGTCTGGGGAGAGTTCACAGGACACAGGCACTTCAGGTGGCAACTTTGGGGTTCGCTAGGCGAACCACTTTGTTCGCCTAGCGAACATGACAGCTCAGCAGACCCTTCTATAAGTAGTATCAGCTACTTTTTGTAAAAATATCTATTATTTTGTATTTGCATTGGAGAGAATTTTTCTGACCTAAAAACCCATTCCTTCATTTCTCATCATCTCTTAGCAATATTTCACCAAAAGAAGGTGGATTCCCATCCATTCTTGATTATTCGACTCAGATGTTGATCAACCTTCTTCTGAAATTTGTTGCTCAAGCTATCATGGAAATGAGTGGCTAAATCCCTCTCTTGTCAAGGTTAGGAGTAGTTAGTTCAGATTTTATGTATTCTTCTTAATCTCTTGTATGTGAACAATGTTATGATCAATGTAGATGAAATTATATGCTACTATTTGTACATTTATGGTTTGGATTACTTTAGATATGAACTTTCCAAGTCTTGTCCTAACTTCTTCATCTATCAACTATACAAATGCTAGACATAGATTTGAAAGTTGATATCTGCGTTGTATCGATCTTAATGATTATTGTTTCGATTGTTATTTAGAGAGATCATTTAACGGTCGAAACAATAACATTCACGGAATCGCTTTAGAGATGAACGTTTTTGCAAGGATACGCGGTTATGTTGGTTATAACTTCGTTCACATATATGATTGGTTGGATACGTTTAGGACGGACTAGCGAACCATAATCTTTACATGCTTTTATCAAACTTAGACCGACTTTTATTCCGTTTTATTTCTTGCAAACTTTTGTTACGAAAATTGAAACCATTCTAAACCCCCCCCCCCTTTTTCTTAAATCGTCATTAAACCGTTGAACGGCAAGCATCTATATTCTCTTCAATCCCTGTGGATACGATAAAACACTATCAAAAAATACTTTCTAACAAATTGGCGCCGTTGTCGGGGATTGTTAGTAGAATATTGCAAGCATTGCAATAGTTTAGTGATTTTAAGATTTTTGTATTGTGAATCTCTTATTTTTGTAATTCTTTGTGCTTTTTAATTTTTTTAGTTCGTGTGCAGAATTTGTTTATGCACAGACAGGTTTGGTCGGAAAACCTTTTTCTCGATCCTGAGATTGAGAGAACCGCTTGTTGTACCAATAGTCTCACAAGGTGAAGACAAAAACTAGCTATTGAAAGATAAGAGCTCGGAGAATCTTCTTCATCCACTCCACCTAATTCACCAATTATGAAAGCACCACCACCACATCCACCTCCAGTTTCTGTCCCTTGTACAAACAGTCCAAGACACACCGCTCAATTTGCACGTAATCTCCAAAATGGAAGACAAGCCGAGATGAAGACGGGAATCCTTACGCTTATCTATCAAAATCCTTTCACGGGAATAGATCATGAGGATCCGTTCACACATCTTACAAAATTCTATGAGATTGCGGGTGCAAATGGAGCAACCGAAGCTGACGAAGAGTCGTTGTTCAAAAGGCTATTTCCTTATTCCTTGATTAGAAAAGTGAAAGAATGGTATCTTGATCAATCGACAACAATCATGACGGATTGGAATCTATTGGAAGAGAAGTTTCTTGAACGGTTCTTTCCATATAACTATTTCATGGAAGCTAAAACTGTGATAGCCGTGTTTTCACAAGGAGCTAGTGAATCCCTTAACGAAGCTTGGGAGAGATTCAAGTCTATATTGAGAAAATGCAAAGGACACGGTTTTGATGAACATACTCAAGTTCATATTTTCCGCAATGGTCTCCTTTCGGTTCACAAGACCTTATTGGATGCTATGGCGGGAGGTTCTTTAATGTCTAAAAGCGTCGATGTTGCAATTGCAATTATTAACAAGATGGCACTAAATGATCACCAAAGGAATCATAACCGTGGGGTAGCTCAAAGAAAACAAGGCGTGCTCGAGTTAGGTACGAATGACGCTATTCTTGCCCAAAACAAACTTCTTACGCAATAAGTGGAGCTTTTAACTCAACAAATGTCAAAGCTTCCACAACAAATCAAAGAGATGCAAGAAGTTCCTACTCAAGTTCAAGTGGCGAGTTGCGAATTCTGTAAAGATGACCATCCTACCAGATATTGTCCTCCCGTTTTGGAAGAAGCCAATTATGCCAGAAATCAAAATTAAGGATACCAACAAAGACCACCTTATCAACAAGCAAATCAAGGTTATCAAAGACCTAATCAAGGTTACCAACAACCTTGGAGGCCGCAAGAAGCCGAAACTTCAAACCGTCAACAATATCAAAACTACACTCAACCTCCACAAACTGAAAGTGCACCGTCAAAGATGGAGGAAGCCCTTACTCAATTCATGCAAATGTCAATGTCGAATCAAAAGAGCACAGATGCGGCTATAAAGAATTTGGAGACACAAGTGGACCAATTATCAAAACAATTGGCCGATCAACAAAAAGGGCCTTTCACGGCTACCGCTACTCCAAATCCTAAGGAGCATTGCAAGGCGATTCCTACAAGAAGTGGTAGAGAAATTGACATGGGTGTAGGTGAGGAGATAATGGCGGGGGAAGTTGTAGTTGAAAAAGAAATTGAAAATGTTAAGAAAGAAGTAGAAAAAAATGTTGAGGGAGATTTAGTTGAAAATGAGAAAGTGAAAAAAAAGTGAGGAAGGAGAGAGAAGTAAGAGAGAAGAAAGAGTGAAGAAGTCGAGAAAAGGAAAAGAGCAAGTGAACACTATTCCGATTCAAAATTTGTCTTATCCGTATGCTCCGACAAAGAAAGACAATGCTAGACACTATGCTCGGTTTATGGACATATTCAAACAATTGCAAATTAATATTCTATTTTCCGAAGCATTATTCAAATTAATATGGCGGATGCTAGTTGTAAGCAATTATTCAACGTACTCTCCCGAGGAAAGAAAGTGATCCGGGACGAGTCACTTTACCCATTACAATTGGAAATATTTATGTTGGAAAGGGGTTGATTGATTTGGGCTCTAGCATAAACTTTATATCCTTATCTATTGTGAAGCGGTTGGGATACATGGAGATTAAATCTACTCAAATGACTTTGCAACTTTCCGACAAATTTACCACTCACCCTCATGGTGTAGCCGAAGATGTGTTAGTAAAGGTTGATAAGTTTTTGTTCCCAATTGACTTTGTAGTAATTGATATGGAAGAAGATGAAGACTCTCCATTGATTCTTGGTCGACCTTTTATGAAGATCGCGCGCATGTCGATTGATATGGATGATGGTCTCATGAAAGTAAGAGTTCTTGATGAGGATATTTGCTTCAATCTTTTTGAAGCCATGAAGCTTTCTAAAGACAAAACCAATTGTTTCAGAATCGATGCAACGGAAGTGGCAATTGAAGAAGTCAAAGAGTTATTGCAAGTTCCCACACCATTACAACAAGTTCTTACCAATGCTCTTTCAGAAGTAAATGAAGAAGAAGAAAGAGAAATTGAAAAGTGTTTGCGGGAACTTGAAGAGTCAGAGGAAATCCCACCTTCGAAAGAAAGGGTGGAAAATTTGAAAAAAGACAACAATGAGGAAGGCAAGCTTGAGTTGAAGTTGTTACCATCTCATCTTAAGTATGTTTTCCTTGATGAAGAGAAAAACAAGCCGGTGATCATAAGTTCAGAGTTAACCATGGATGAAGAAAAGAAATTAATTATTGTGTTAAAGAAAAATCAAGAGGAAATGGGTTGGACTCTTTCCGACTTAAAAGGTATAAGTCCTTCCTATTGTATGCATCGAATATTCATGGAGAACGATTTCAAGCTGGTAGCTCAACCACAAAGAAGATTGAATCCCACTATGAAAGAAGTGGTGAGGAAAGAAGTTGTAAAAATGTTGGATGTCGGCATGATTTATCCTATTTCTGATAATCCG